AAGAGACTGCAATGGGGATAGACTTATCTGGAGAGCGTTATTGGGCCTGTGTACTTAGGGACATGGAGCAGGGAGTCATGATTTATATATATGATTCAGGAAAAACAGGATTGTGGAACAAAGTTTTGGTGCCTAGTGAAACATTATTCGATACAATTATCAAGGATAACAAGTTATATATATATTGCATAGGATTTTCAGGGGATGTTGAGGTGTGGCGCCTCAATTTATGTGATAGCAACTTATCTAATCTTGTGACAACACGGGCACAGGACCATCGTGGCTATCGTATGACAGATGAATATTTTTACTTTGATACCCTTGTAGTAACAGCAAAATCTTTATTTGTGACAACTTCAACCAAGTTTACATGTTACTTATTGAAGCTGGATTCTACAGGTTTTGTTGAAGAAACTACTCATCAATGGAACAATATTGTGGAACCTGTATGTATGGCTTATAACAACATACTTCTGATTGCACATCCAGATTTTTTGGCTTTGTACAACTACCAAACAAAAACATGGAGAAGAAATGATATTCAAAGGGTTTGTAGTGGGTTTCAAAAAATATTTGGGTTTGTGCTAGGATTATGCCATGTTTGATTTCGGCATGATTTTCAAGAATTTAAATCCATTCTAGTTTGGAAGTTTTTGGTTAAGCAAACGACATTCAGGAGAATAATTGTCTCTGGCTCGGAGATGGTGCATGTAGACAGCTTTCCAAGTGAAAAAGCAAATGCAATCTAGAAAGAATAATTGTCCTTGGCTTGATCCTTCGTTTTTCTCGAAGGACCAAACTGTTCCCAGTCGCAACATATCACTGCGATAGAGAAGGAAATGCTTTGAGAAGACAAACATAGTTTCGCGACTTTGAAAAGCTTCAACCCTCTCGGAGATCTGTTCGTGAAAGTTCCCGACGCCAAGATTGGACAGCCATTGCTTTCCGGGCGGTCGGCGCTGTTGGTCACATCCTGACGCCACGAGCCTTCGCGGCGTGCGGGCGCGTGCTCTATCAGCGGGCAGAGGCCCCGGTAGCGGTGGCCACCTCCGGCCGGGGCGTAAGGACACTCCACACCGGGGGCGTGCTATTGTTTTGAAAGCCCCTAAGGCTTTGCGACAGACCAAGGCTCACGAGAGCGAGGAAGGAATGGCAAGTGTCGAAAGTTTTTCATCTCTGGCGCTGCACCTTGGCGCTCCAGCAAGAGCTGATTTTGATTCATCTATCGAATGCGAGCTTGGCAAAGTGAAGCTCACGAGGCCGGAGGAACCGAAACCTTCAAAAAGAAAAAAGCTCAATCTCATAATTGCTAAGGAAACCCCAGGGCGCCCACCAATCACAGCTTGATTTTCAAGGGCCTGCGCTGGAGGATGTGGCAAGCAGTTTGTTATTTTTTCCAGAGCAGGCACAATGTAAAGCACCTGTGCTCCCGAAGAAGAGCACGGGACTTGGTGGATGCAGTAAGTTCTTCTCTCTCATTTTTTCTTGGATCTTTGAATATTTGACACAGGTTTTGCCACATCCAGATGTCAAAGAGGCCGCTTGCGATACATGGGAGCTAAGATTTACAATCAAGATGGCCCTCACAGGCTCCGCAGAGTTATTCAGAAATTCTTTGAGTTTTATCTTCTATCTAACTGGAGGAACGTCACAGGTGATAAAGTCCAATCTATCTGTCGCAGAGGATGGTACTCCCTCGGCTTTGTTTCTCATACCTTTGCTTTATTCTTTTGTCTAGGGATTATCCAGTGCTGGTTTTTTCTCTCGAAAGTTGACAAACTTGTTTCCTTTTGCAATGGATCCAATCACGAAAAGAATTTTAGTCGATCACGATCTTTGGCTCATTTGAACTTGTGCATGAATGAACTTGAAGTGGTCGTATCTGTGTTTTATTCTCTAGATGAGTCGAAATCTAAATCCCAAACTTTATCTCTAAGAGCAACAAGCTGAACGCATGCCACGAATGCGAGCCTTTGTGCGTTTCGTGGTCTTTTCGGGTACCATCACATTTTTGGGTAAGCAGAAAAAATTCCTTGCTCAAATGTTTTGTCAGTCTAGGAAATCTATTCAAGATAAAAGTACAAATGCTTCGCCCGGATGACAAAGGATGCCTATCTTTCCCCAGGTAAACTCCTCATACAAGTGCTCATCACCTCATCTCCCTTTTGATTTTTCCTGGAGATGCTCCACACTGCTGATTGATAGAGAACTCAGGCCTTGGGCAGAGCTCCTTGACGAGAAAGGAAGTCTTGTTATCTGTAACGCGCTCTGCTCTGCCTAACACTTTCTATCTCGACTTCCAGGCAAGTCAAACAGGGAATCTCTCTCTCACTATCTTTTTTATCAGTCTCCTCCATTTTCATTTTCATAGATTGACAAGACCAGCCACACAGCAAAGACTTTTTCATAGACAAACATGATCAGAGCGAACATGTTGTCTGAGTAACCCAGCTCAATCAACTCTAGAAGCCAGAATGTTGTTCGGCTTCATCATCCTCCGTCTGGTAGAGGAGGTTTGATCCCCTCGGAGACCAGATTTTGCCGATTCGGCGTAAACAGCGAGTCGTCTGTCAGCACGAAACTAGGTGGTAGGAAATCAAAGAGACTGCGGAGCAAAAGGAAGTACAAGGAAGTAAAATGCTCGAAAGCGAATTGGCTAGTGATGAAATAAGAATGCCCAGGGAAGCTATCAGAATGCCGTGGTCCAAGCACACATATATGACAATCAGCATAAACACATCACCAAGCAGAACTGGGAAACCCGGAAAAGAATTATCGGAAATAAACACCAAGTAAACATTCAATGCAAACGTTGAGCACAAAGTAGATCAGGGTCGGTCTGGGTCACTCTCCGTGGTGAGGGGGTGTGAGCAATGCTATGCTCACGTCCTTGCTCAAGAACAGGAGGAAGAGGCTGGCGAGGGAGACGCGATCCGGGTCTTCGACCGGATGGCGGAGAGAAACAGCGTTTCAAGCAAGAAAAGACAGGCATCGCTTGCCAGTGCGCCATGGCCGAGTTTGCTCTGCCGCTCTTCCGCTGGGCCCGGCCGAGAGCAAGGCCGTCCATCGGTTCATCACGGTTCTTCGCAACGGCGAGAAGCTGGAGGTTGCCAGCGAGCTCAGTGACCTCCCGGAGGTCCAGAGGATGGCCTACTCGGCGACTTACATCGGCTACATCAACTCCAAGAACAACGACGAGGTCCTGGCCGAGATGACCGAGCGTGGATTCACTCCGCACGGGTCGGCTCTCAACCGGCTGCTCCTCATGCGCTGCGACCGAGAGGACGGGATGAGCTCGAGCACACCGCTCGAGGGAGGCTGCTGGACGCCGGATACAACCAGCTGGGCAACGGGCTGTGCCGGGCGGACAAGCTTGGAGTACACCACGAAGGGACGTTCCACGCTCAGGGACCGCCTGGACGACGCCCTCAAAGTCGCGGACAAGATGTTCTCGGTGCTGGACGTGAGGACTCGGCTCAATACTTTCGTCCACAAGCTGGTGGAGAACTAGCGGTACGACGACGCGATGAGCATCTTCGAGCCGACTTGAAGATCAGAGGTCGACGAGACACGGTGGTTAGCGGAGTGGAGATAAATGTCTTTCATTAATACTTTGGTATTGCAAGCTCTTAACATCACCTTGGCCTTTCTGTTTGAGGGAACCACCTCCTTTCGTAGTTTTCGAATCCTTCCAGATGAAGTCCTGACAGAGGTATGTGCATTCTGTCGTGCAGTGTATACATACGTTGCTGTTTGCTCTTAAGGTGCGATATTTGCTCCAGAATGGAGCATATGTTGTAGGCTGTGCTGCTTTTCATTTGTTCCAATGCTCATTTGCCGGGTTTGGAGGTTGTCGGGAGAAGTGACCAATCCTTCACTGCATTCGCCGGTGCAACCTTATCAAGTTGCCTTATAGTTCTTATGGGACTAGAAACGTCCTTATCTGGAAAAATGCTGGGGTAATTGCTACCAGCATTCGAGGAAGGAACAACTCGAGAATTAGCTATGAGGAAGCTCTCAAGTTCGGGAGATCCTCCAGGATTTCAAGCACGGTATGAGAAATATTGCTGGAGACTTGCTTAGGAATCCCATCCAGGTGAACATTGGAAATTGTTTTGGTATTTGCGCTAACAATCGGTGCGGTGCGTAGAAATTGTTTCGCCTCAAGACGAAGGACGAAAGCTGGAGCGGATTAATCAATAGCCTGGGTCCAAGATCATCATATTCTGCTCAAAAAGCGAATGTGGATCAACTACTGCGCAGGGAGTGGCCATCCATGGTGACAAGTCACAAGGCGGGGTACCTGTTCTTGTTGCCACCGATGTCGATGTCGCAGCAAGAGGGCTGGATATCAAAGAGGGCTGTTTTTTCTTCTTTCCCTCTGCTGACTTTGGAGTTCTTTGGATTGCAGAGTTGTCATTAACTACGACTTTCCCACCGGTGTGGAGGACTACGTCCACCGCATTGGTTGGACGGGCCGAGCTGGTGCCACTGGCCTGGCTCACACTTGTTTTGCCGAGCAAGACGGGAAGTACGCTAGGGACTTGATCAAAGTCCTCGAGGGAGGGTGCGAACCAGAAAGTCCCACCAGAGCTGAGAGAGATGGCACTTCGAGGCGGTTTTGTAAAGCCACGCCACAACCACTGGGAGGATTTCTGGCCAACAGCTTCTTAACAGACAAGCAGGCTCTTGGGCTGCTGCTACTGCGCCACTCGCAAGGTTTCCTGTTACCAACAACGGCACAATCAGCTTCGAGAATGGGGGCTATAGACTCTATAGAGAGGATCTCTTCCGGAGCTACAGCAGGGGCCGGAGCGGGAGTCCCAATGATCGGCGGAGCCGTGGACGAAGCCGGTCTCCTAAGCTCACAGTCGCCAATGATGGTGGCTAGGCGAGATCATTCGATCGATCAGGGACGCAAACGCAGCGGCTGATTTCTTTTGAGAACCAACGGAGAAAAGTTTGATTTTGGAAAACCCTACAAGCTCAATCAACGGCTCAGATTTAGGTTTGCTTGATATTTTTTTAGGGTTCTAGCCACCAAAGTAGGGCTATGGTGTCCGAAAGAGCGATAGCGATGGCTGCTCGAGAGCTCACGGCTGATCCGGCAAGGATCCATCTCGACAAATTTGGAGGTGTCAAACGAGTGCTCCAGCAACGGTTTGAATTCCGTTAAGAGTTTCTTCTCATTTGCATTGTTAACAATGCAGCTTCCAAGGTGTTTTTCCTCCCGGCCCAGCCACGAAGGGAGGACATGCGACTCGGGCCGATTGCGGTGCACTGATGATGGCGCTCATGGCAGCAACAAATGAAGATCTCCGATGCAAGCAGGAGCTCTCCCGCATCGTTACCCTCTTTTCTGGTTTTTGTTCTTCATCTTTTTTCTTGGTGGCTGATGTCTTTTCTTTCAGGGCAGGAACCAGAAGTCGATAGCGAGGATGAGCCGCTGCTGGAACTCGCCCATGCGGCTGGCCAGTTGGAAGGGTTCTCGTACAGGCTCACGAGGGCAGTCGGTGGAGATCGGGAACTCCGCGTGACTGCACGTGGAGTGAAGATTCGCGTCATGGTGTCAGGAAGCTGTCGATCTGAGCCAGAGTTCCTTCGGCGTCTTCGTGTTCTCCGTGAGCAGGTGACGCAGAAAGTAGCGGCCTTCATGGCCAACTTCCCAGCGTCTACTGTCGAGTGCGATATGTGCTACCTTTCTCAAGACTGAGGGAAGAGATCAATCGTTTTTGTAATAGAAACTCGTTTTTGTAAGTTTCTGAGCACATCCTAGTAGCGTGATACAGATTCACAAGCAAGATTGGCGGCCTGGCAGCGGGGCTTTCTCTCTTGGTAACTTTCTTTTCTCGATTGAGCTGAGTTACTCCTTTGGACGACAGGCGGATGAAGATCACACGTCCGGGGAACGTTTTCTATCTGCTATGAAAGAGATCTGTCCGGCCGATCATGTGAGTGTTTTTCTGAGTTCTTTTCTTATGAACGACCAACACCAATGTTTCCAGCAAAATATCGCTGCGATAGAGAAGGAAAATGTTTTCAGGAGAAGTTTTGCGACTTTGAAACGCTCGAATCACGCGACGAAAATGCAGGTGAATCTATCTTCTTGCTCTCGATCAATGCGTTTTACTCGCTTTCTAGTTCTCGAATGATTCGTGCTGTGCTTGGACAGGCGGATGAAGATCACACGTCCGGGAAACGCTTTCTATCAGAGGTGCGTTTACTTTTCCTTTCCATTTCGTACTTCGTTCTTTTCTCGAGAGTGACAGTTTTTTTGGACAGGTCAAAAGAGTGTTAAGGCCTTCGGGAAAGTATGCTTGCATCACCCAGATACTTGGCTCATGTATGCTACAGAGGGTGCGGGCCACAGAGCTCCAAGTCAAGGTGAACAAGCTCGCAAATTCTCCTCCCGTGTGAGATTTCTTCGTGGGGATCGGATCGAGTTTATCCCGTAAGCATGTGTTGGTAATTTGTATTTCTAAATTTTTAAGCGTACCTTGTTGCTTAATTTGTATTTCTAAATTTTTAAGCGTACCTTGTTGCTTTCAAGGGCGAAAGGGTGTCCGAAAAAATCTCAAGGAGAAGGACATGTAAGTCTGGTGGTAGTAAAGGTTTTGAAGGTTTTCACATGTCTTTCAATACCATAGAATTTTGGCACTGGCCACACTCATCTCAAACGTACGGCGCTTGTACCACGTCAAGGAATCCTGCGGATCGCTTAGAAATGTACAAGATGGTACCGATCGAGCTGAGAAGGCTATCAGCGGTATGCTGGCCCTGTGCTCTAAAATGCCTTTTGCTTCGTATGCAGAGACTCCACAAGGAGACCAACAACTGGCGTGTTTGGGGGATTCCACCGAAAGGAACGTCCTTCTGCAGCGATTTGGCACACAAGTCGCAGCATCTGCTGACGAGAATGATCCTACTTGGCCAAAGATTACAAGGCTGTGGAACTGGACGCTGGTCGAACATTTCAAGGTACAGCACATTTCGTAATATCTGCTTGCTAAAATGTTTTAGAAGGTTTTTGGAGCAAATGGCGTCTGAGTTGGCCCTCAACTGAGAGAGATGACGTGAAGCATGGGATGATATACTTGAAAACCGACTGGTGTTTCTACAGAAGCTCCACACGAGGCGAAGAGTGACAAAGCCAGGCAGAACTTCACCAAACAGCTTGACAAGGCTTTCTTCAGGCTTCCAGGGGAGTGAAGCCTACTGTGGTGAGTAACCTATGCTTTTCGGTTTTATGTCAAGTATGAATTCTGATCATCTAGAAATATATGGACGAATACATTGCACTTCGCACGTTGGATCCAAAGAGTGCTGTGGAACAGGTCCTTTGCTTTCTATGGTACTTTCTCTTTTTTCTGTGCACCAGGTACCCGTGAATGTTTCAGAGCGACCGTGTGCCATGGTGGCCAGTCTATAGGGAGCACGATGATGAATGCGTTGGAAAATTGCAGCTGTTTATCAGTACATCATCGGAACTTGGCCTGGGAAAGGTTACTAAATTTTGCCGTTTTTCTTCACTTTTCCTATTTGCGTTTATCTTTTTCAGTGGGGGAGACTGTCGCGTTTTGGAGGTTGTTACGAAAGTGCACCATTTTGGACGGCGAAGACTACGATTGTATGGGTCCTGGCAATGGAGTTTACTGTATTACGGTGTTTCAGTCATTTATACCAAACTCGTTACGCTTTCGATGTCACAATGGAGTCTTTCAGGTACCTTGCATTTGGGAAGATTGCCTACGATTGATTATGAGCTGTTCATTCTTATAATCACTGCCAGGGATGAGAGTGAGCCTAAACGACAGGAGGTAAGCCGCAACAGAAATGAGTACTTAGGATTATGGCTCGCTAGAAACGGATTTTTGCAGGTGTTGAAGAGCAACTTTCCCAGCTTCTGGCTTTTGTTTTTGAGAATTATCTTGACGAGGCATCGCCTCCCTGTTATTTCTTTCAGCCGCCATCTGGTGTCGCTGCACCGAAGTTCTTGCCTGGAAGTAATTCCGAAGCGCTGCTTGCGCCTGTCGAGAGTATGTCGTTCAAGATGATTTTCTTTCTCTCACGTGGTTTCAGATTAGACTCCTGCGAGGAAAAGATGCAAGCGACTCATGGCGGAAACTGATGGCTTTGTTGCGACTACAAGTGACGGGTTTTTGGTGGATCAACGCATGCCTTTAAATGAAAAATCTCAGAGATTCCTACGGACGTGGATATCCACAACCAACATGTACTTCCGAGGTACTCTACTCTGAACTTCCGTTGTAGCAGGCTCAAGCTGTTGTTTGCCGCTCGCTAGCATCTATAATGTGGAGGTTTGCAATCGGCTCCCCTTGTCGTAAAGTAAGAAGCAGGACTTTTGTATTTATGGAATATTGCGGAGGTAAAGCCTTTTTCACGTCGAAGAAAATTATTGGAAGTTTGCAAGTTAAGCACTTCTGCTTATCTGACAAATTCCTCCAGGACACGGTACTGCGCCTTTGTTGAAGAGGTTATGACAGAATGACAGAAACATTTGGTGAGGATGACGTGATTATCAGCTCCTGGCCAGGGTACACATTTGTTCTAGTGAATGTAAGGGTGACCAGATTATTATTGATTCTCAATGATTTTTTAACATATAGGCGGTGGCTTATGCCATCTTAACAGCGTTGGAGACGCACTACACAGAGGTGCCAAAGTGATGGTACCAAAGGTCACTTTGTAGAAGCTAGCAAGGCGGAGGTCTCTGACACTACATAGTGTGCCTAACTAACCAGGTAAGTAGTTTAGATCGCAGTTGCAGATGAAAGCAATGCCTTCCTATTGACGGCGCAAGATGCGGCTTAACGAAGTGACGGTTGCATTGCGAAAAAAGGACACTCCAGGCAATTGTGGAAAAGCTAGCAGATATTGTAAGAAGTTTCGTTACTTTCTTTTTTGACATCAGGCGCGGCTCCATCCGAGAAAAGCATTTTGGAATATACAAGAGAAGTCGCTGGAGAACCCGACATGCGAAAACGCATGCAACATCTGAACACTCAGCTTTTCTTGAAACAATCTCACATCTTCACGAAGTGTTTACTACTCGAGTCTTCATTGCCGATTCTCGAGGTTACTGGGATCGGATGGCAAAGGTATTCAGGAGCTTCATTTTCTGGAGAAGGAAGAACAGGTTGTGGTACAATCTTTCTCATGAACAGAATTCCTTTGCAACTGCTACATCTCATCCAAAACCTTCACAAAGCAAAGAAGGAAGGAACGCTTCGAAAAATTTTTGAACAGCAAAGCACGAGGATTCCACAATCTGTGATGATGCTCTCCAAAGACGTACGTAACGGGCTCGACTCATCCAGCTCTTGTTTTGAGGCTACTAACTAGTGTTGCTACTGCCTCTTTGTGAGAAGCTCTCTGCTGTGTGGAGTGTTGCCTTAACTGGAATACTGCTCTGTTTGGTAATTTTTTGGTTTCGCAAACTTTCATTGCTCGGTTTTTGTGATTAAGGATGGTATCTACGAGCATATGGGAAACGGTTGACAGATGGATCTACGCGGAAAATGTCTTGGAGTTGATGGGAATGGCTTACTTGCACGAGAATGCATGGAGATTCACCTCAACTTGAAGCTTCATTCGTTTCCAAGCGCACAGGATCGTGTCAGCTAAAACCGGTCTGGAGAGCAATCGGCTACTTGACACTTCCATTACCGAGAAGTGTGACGTTTACAGCTGGGAAAAGAAGCTCCAACACCGACAAGTTTATCTTCCTGGATCATGGACGAAGGACACGAGCGAGTCTAAAGTTCGTCAGAGTGTAAGTTTGCTTTCCAGTGCCTACAGGAAGTCCCGAGAACAGCGCTTTCTTCTGGTTCAATCGCCACTGGAGAACGTACCTTGAATAAAAGAAAACACTCGTCTACCAAGATAAGTCCAAGAGCGTGGCGCTCAAAGATGGCCGTGACCACAGGATATAACTCTGCAAGGCCTTCTTTGCGAGCTCGTGATCCAGATCACGGTCGTTGTTTTCAGCATTCTTGCAGCTTGTACCCTTCTCTCCCCTTTTCCCTTGTTTTAAAGCAAGAAAGGTCAAACCCTATCGCCGTTAGGTCAAGGTAAGGGTAGTCATGGATTGGATCCCAGTTGAGGAGGTGCTCAAGCGCTTGCCAGCAGTTGCTTTGTGGCGCGCGAGAGCCGTGTGCAAGAAATGGAAGGATCTCATAGAGACACCGGGATTTGCTGCTATTCACTACACACAACACTTGAATCGTAGTCCTCCTCATGTTTTGGGTCAAGATCTGGATGGTGAAGGGCCTCTTTTCAGATGCAATCCCTTTGCGGGGCAAGAAGCAAGTGATTGGGTTCTCATGGAGCATAACATGGATCGTGTTTTGAACTCTAGCGGTGGTTTGATACTTGGGATGAGAGGAAAAGATTTTATGGTCTGGAATCCTCTCACTGGAGCATCTAAGATGCTCCCACCACTTTGTTTGGATGGTGAACCATGTTCTAAGGAGACTGCAATGGGGATGGATTCATCTGGACAGTACTATTGGGCTTGTGTACTTAGAGAGGTGGAGCAAGGAGTTATGATTTATATATATAATTCAGGGAAAACAGGATTGTGGAACAAAGTTCTAGTACATAGTGATACGTTATTTGATACAATTATCAAGGATAACAAATTATATATATACTGCACAAAGTTATCAAGGGATGTTGAGGTGTGGTGCCTCAATTTGTGTAATAGTAACTTATCTAATCTTATGACAACACGGAACCATCGTGGCTATCGTATGACAGATGAATATTTTAGCTTTGATACCCTTGTAGTAACAGCAAAATCCTTATTTGTGACAACTGCCACTGAGTCTACATGTTACTTATTGAAACTGGATTCTACAGGTTTTGTTGAAGAAACTACTCATCAATGGAACGATGTTGTGGAACCTGTATGTATGGCTTATAACAACATACTTTTGATTGCACATCCAGATTTTTTGGCTTTGTACAACTACCAAACAAAAACATGGAGAAGAAATGATATTCAAAGGGTTTGCAGGGGGTTTCAAAATATATTTGGGTTTGTGCTAGGATTATGCCATGTTTGATTTTGGCATGATTTTCAAGAATTTAAATCCATTCTAGTTTGGAAGTTTTTGGTTAAGCACAGGACATTCAGGAGAATAATTGTCTCAGACAGCTTTCCAAATGAAAAAGCAAATGCAATCTAGAAAGAATAATTGTTCTTGGCTTGATCTTTCGTTTTTCTCGAAGGACCAAAACGTTCCCGCTTTGAGAAGACAAACATAGTTTCGCGACTTCGAAAAGCTTCAACCCTCTCGGAGATCTGTTCGGGAAAGTTCCCGACGCAGCCATTGCTTTCCGGGGCGGACTCCACACCTATTGGAATGTTCGGTTATTTTCACAATGGCAAGTGTGGAAAGTGCTTCATAGAGATGTTGCTCTGGTGCTGCACCTTGGCGCGAATCGCGTTGCGGTCCAAGCGAGGAACCGAAACCTTCAAAAAGAAAAAAGCTCGCCAGGGAAACCCCAGTTTGGTTTTTCCGTCTTGGGCGCCCGGCGTCAAGACACCAATCATGGTTTGATTTTCAAGCTTGGGCCTGCTGGCAAGCTGGAAGTATTTTTTTCCAGAGAAGAACTAGGGACTTGGTGGTTCTTGGATCTATGAATACTCCACACTTCCAGAAGTCAAAGAGGCCGCTTGCGATACATGAGAGCTAAGATTAAGATGCTCTTCTAACGCAGAGTTATTCAGAATCTTTGAGTTCTACCTGACTGGAAGAGATGTCCCCCAATTTATCCGTCCAAGAGGATGGTGCTCTCCCGGCTTTGTTTCTCATCCCTTTGCTGTTTTTAGTTGAGAAACTTGTTTCCTTCTGCAATGGATCCAATCACGAAAAGAGGATTGAAGAATTTTAGTCGATCACTTTGAACTGTGCACGCATGAACTTGAAGTGGTCGTACTTGTGTTTTTCTCTCTCGATGAGTCTAAATCTAAATCCAAAACTATATCTCTAAGAAAATTCTGAGCTTAACTGATGCTGCGAATGCGAGCCTTCGTGCGTTTCGTGGTCTTTCTCGGGTACCATCACATTTTTGTGTAAGCAGAAAAACATTCCTTCCTTTAATTTCTAGAAACTTGACAAATGTATTGGTAGTCTATGAAATCTAGTCAAGTTAAAAGTACAAATGCTTCGCCCCATCACACAAGTGCTCATCACCTCATCTCAACAAGTAATAAATTTTTTTAATTTTCCTGCCATCTAAATGAGTGCATTTGCATAATAATTATTATTATATAAAATAATACACAAAGCTAAGAAAATAATGAATTGGAGATTACATTTCCAATCCATAAAGTATAAAAATTAATTATATTTAAGCCACCATAATTGATGCAAACATGAAACTTTTATATATAAATAGTAACAATTATTTATAAAAGAGTGTTACATTTAAACTATCAATTTCATGAATCCAAATATAAAAGAATATTTATCCCCTGATGGTAATAAACATATTTTTGGGTTATGCTTTGACATATTGAAGTATCATTTAATATAAATAATTAGTCATTTTAGCATAAGAAAAGAATTTTTTGCTAAAAACAATTGTGAAAGTAATTTGAAATTAATAAAATATTTTTGATATGAAATATGAAATCATTCTTGATTTATATAAATTTTTATAAAACTTTACATTTTAATTGAATGTCTTTGTTAAGTAATTGTAAAAAACCAGAAAGAGATGAATAAAATTCTTAACACTCATTCTCATTCAGTAATATGTCAATTCAATAGTAAAATATTTTTTCACAAAAATATTCACAAATGTTACAAAAAAATATAATAATTATAATGAAATTGTTATTATTAGTGCTGTCCCATCTACACTGCAATCTCCATAGAACATAGTTAGGATCTAAACAAAGTGGTGATGCTCTAGTAATAAGCAGACCATAAACTCTTCTCCTTGCATCTCAAGTAAAAATTTAAAATAAGATCCAATTGGCAATTTAATCCTTTGCTTCATTGTGCCTCATTCATAAACTGTATTATGCAAGATTTTCCAAGGGGGGCAATTTCGACAATGGGGTCGGCTGATGGTATAATGGATGAAACTTCTACCATTGGTGAAGGAGAATTTTTGGCTTTAAAATGACCTTTTATGACCATGACAGTGAACAAGCTTGATAGCAAATGCAATCTAGAAGAGCCGTCAAGGAGCTTGTGAGATCGCTACTTAGCACCAGATGGGAAGAGGATGGTTGCAAAGTCTTGGTGTGTTCTTGAAAGGTCTCGGTAGATTGGAATAAGAAATTTTACTCGGGTTTTTCCACCTCGCAGAAGTGACTCTTCGCATCTCGTGGATCTGTTCGGGCTCCCCTTCTCGTTGTGCCTCTCGAGCCTTGCGCTCTAGCGACAACCATTTGGAGAACCTGATCGTAGAAAGAACTTGTCACGAGCTGATAGGATTGAAAGAAAGAAAACTCACCGTTTGATGGCTGTTCTATTCGTCTCGGCCGTCGCATCTTGGAACTTTCCAGTAACAAAGTTTGTCCGTGCCAATCGCTCGTCGAGAAGTTCCTGGCCGAGAGCTGCCAAGTTTTTGAGGTTCTCTGGCGTGGAGTTGTCCACTTCGGCCGTGGTCTTGGACAGTCTTGTTGTCTGTTATAACCATCGTTTGTAAGTTTGGATCTAACCAAAGTCGAGATAACTTGCCTGGACTCTGATCAAGTTCTTGTCGCAAAATCCAGTTTTAAACATGAGAGCGATGTTGTTGTCCATCATATCCGAGCTCGCGTCCAAGAGCATGTTGATGATCGGAGCACCATCTTTGTGTAGCACCCAGCCAAGAGCTCCCCATTTGGAAATCTCCTGGGCCTCGTAACTGAAAGGAAGAGTGCCGCATCCCAGTGAGAGCACCAAGCAGTCATTGAATCGCTGGAAAAAGAAAAACTTTCTAGATCAGATTCAAAGAGTTCACTTTTTTCAGCGAAAAGAACCAAACCTCGAGTAAAGTTCTCTTGGAATCCTTGAGTAGCTTGTTGGTTTGAGGATCCTTGAAGGCCTCGACTAGAGCAAGAAAAGTCTGCTCATATAAGACAAGAGAAACAAAATAAACAAAGGAAGAAAGAAGTCTAGTTCTTATAATGCGAACGAAGAACTTACAGGATTGTTCGCGACGAGACCTCCGTCTGTCAAATGGTACTCGGAATCCTCGCAGCTGAATCTCACTGGCGGGAAAAACGTGGGAGCCGCCGAGGTTCCACGAGCGATTTCTCGCAGCAAAGCGTTCTTGGTTGGATCCACTCGTCCCTGTCGAGACAAAAGGCTAAGCTCGAAAAAAATTTATCTAGATCGGCAAGAAGTAAGAACTTACAGCAGCTGTGGTGAAGAAGACTGGATTCTGGAGCCTCGTATCGAAAGCAGTGACGAGGAGCTCGGTCACGGTGTCTCGGATTCGCGTGTCTTTGAGATAGCTCTCGAGCAAATGCTCCAAGTTTGTTGGAGAGTACTTGGGACCAAACATAGCACGGATGGATGTCATGCTGAGGAAAGATAGATATGGACTACAGTTATCTTGCTATCTAGCGAAGAACAAGAACCACAAAGAAGAGAGATTATCTACAGTCCTAACATACCGATCTCTATTGAAGATGGTCTTGCAATTGTCGAGGTAGAACTTGTTGATACCTTTGGCCGTGAATAAGGGTCGTCGCTGCGCATCGGGGGCGGCGAGCATGATCGAGATCAAGCCGCCAGTGCTCGTCCCGGCGACTACATCGAAGTAGTCTGCGATTCGAGCGTCGGGGCCGTCCAGCTCCTGTGTGATCGACCCAAGATGAAATGAAAGATCTAGCAAAACAAGACATTGCTACTGCTCTCGTTATAACCTGGAGGCATTCCTCGAGGAAGATGAGGATCTGTGCTGGGATGAGGCCGCGCACGCCGCCCCCATCGATGCTGAGCACGCATTTGTGCTTGCCAAAGGCGCCCTCCGGAACTTCCTCCGGAACTTCCTCCATCCTATTCTCTGTTTCCAATGTAGACAGGGTGTTGTAGCGCATTTATTATTGGCCGCTAGCAGTTTTACCTCACCAGCTTGAATTATTATAATTCACCTTTTCTAAACATAAATCATGAAGAACATGTAAATTTGCTAGTGATCTTAATAATGAACCCTCCAGCAAGAAACTGACACGATGTATGATATGATATCTTGACTACTGGACAGCTGCGGAGAAAACCAGAAAACATACAAAACACATGTTGTACCTCCTTGTATCAAAAGTGAAGTGATTTGTGATTGTCAATTCAAGGTGGAGGTACACCTCCAAAGGGAAGGTGTACTAGGTGGCACTTACCAAATTTGTAAAATATAAAAAAATTCATACAGTGTGTGCGAGTTATACGACTAAAAATAATGTTTGCATGTAAATGTTTATATTATGCATTTTTTACACCACATAAGAATATTTATTTGCCAAAGAATTCATATTAATAGGGTTTAGGGATGTCATGTATTTGTCATCTTATTATATTTATTTATTCACCATTACTGTCTATAGTAAAAATTGAACCTTAAATCTTTGGTCATGGGATTTGAATTTAAAATCTTCTATAGACATTTATTAAGTTTATAAAAATAAGGTTTTAAGGATAAAGTGTTTAACACAAACTTATCTTTTCTTTTTTGCTGCTTTAGTATTTTATTGATAATTTTGTTGTCTTCCCTTTTTTAATGACGAGTTCTTGATACTCTGATATACATTTTTAGCTTTAGTAAATTATTTAATACCAAAAATAACTTTTTCTTTTTTAACTAAAGATTGGTATAATAGTAAAGTTTGATGACACATGGTCTAAATTCTGTAGCTTCGTCAACCAAATCAAGTTTTAAATTATTATGCAGCCTGATCAATATTCCACTTTAACTTCTTGAGATTGATCAAATCTTTTTTTTATTGGAATGCTTCTTTCCTGGTTCTCTATTTTGTAAAGTTTTGATCTCTTTGTAAACCACTTCAACAACATATTTAGTAATATTAATCAAGAGGGTACTACCAATAGTAATTGCAGTAATTGCCAAGGCTCCAAATTTATATTTACCGGCATTAGAATTTTAAATGGTTGCCATTGATATTTTATGGGATGATGCAACTTTTGAATAACATTTTTGCCTTGGTTTTCATAAGGATGTTAAAGAGTTCATGCCATTCTATCTAAATCTAACATTTTTCATGATTGCTTTTGAACTTTTTATTTACTATGGTAATCAATTGCAAGAACATCAATTGAAGTGTCATCATCAAACTTTTGTTCCTTGTCCAATAGCAATAATTTTGGAACAACCAGTGCATGAGTAATGTGTACTTTGTACATCAACATCTTTCTGAAAGCTATATATGAAAGTACTATTTATAAAACTATATAATGCTAACAGTAATACAATTTATTCATATATATTTCTTTAGAAATACAAACTTCTAATATATAGAAGATTGAAATGAAAAAATAAAGAAAGAAAACCATGGCTCTTTCGTGCTCTATCTCCCCTATTAGAGTGCCTAAAAATTGAAAATTGTTATTGATCCAAACATAAATAAAATTTAAGCATTTCATCTTGTAAGTTACTAAGGCAATGAACAAAGGCAACATGAAGATACTCAAGGTTGATGATATTAATGTGAGGTTTTTCCACTCATTGACATTTAAGTAATGGACAAGTTAGCTATTAATGGAGTGGAATGCAACCTTTTCATGTAGTTTGCTACACATTCTTGTGGTAAACTTTGACTTTCTGTTTTTCGTATGAAAAAATCTGATAAATAAAGAAGAGATGGCCAAAAACTTATATCTAACAAGATATGTTAAAAAGCAGTATATTACTTTTAGTGGTTGATAAAAAATATATATAAATATAGTATTTTATTGGGGAATATCTCACTTAGATTCATGCTATGTAATATCAGGTGGGGTTTTCAGAATGAGATTCATGTATAATATGCTTACTGTGGAATGAATACTAATAGTGGTATAAAGGATATAAGGCTACATGGGAAATATATATGATAATGTTTTATGTCGGGCTGAAAGAACAATGAAGTTTTTATGATTCTTGTTAGGAATACATTTGTGCATGTCAATTTTTTAATGGTTAATAGAGCATATGACGAGAATGCAAGTATATTTACTTTGCATCCAATGCTCCAAGCTGTGTTTGGACTTATGGGAAAATATACTATAAGATAGTAGATGAGTTAATAGTGAATGCTGATTTGATCAATATTTCTTTTGAATATATTGGAATCAATTATGAGCTCAAAGTTCCTCTACAAAATACCATCTTTTGTTATCCATGTCACTTGAATCATTTGATTATCACACATATAATACAAAGCTTAATGGGCTTAACAACAATATAAAAGATTGTTGGGTCTATGATCATTCATCATGACCATTTATCCAGTAGTAGGTAGTAGCTCCAAATGATATCAAGAATGAGGGAAAATTCTCTGGCCCCACACATTAATATTACCATATCACAATGACAATCTCTTCGTTGCTCACACAAGATGTCCATTTTTCATTGACACTTGCTTTTAGCACAACAATCAATCAGTTGAGCATGAGCTAGGACACTTGACAATGCCTTCAGATACAGATGTATTTCATCAAATTGGTATTTAGTTCCTCCAGATAATAGATGTTCCTTGGCTGTCATATTACATGTATGCTACTATGATGCTTGAGCTGTGCTTGTTAAATACAAGTGCCACCATGATGCTCTGAGAAATCAGTAAATTTTCAGACCCAGAAATCACAGTGATGATATGTCAACTGGCTAAGCTAAGATCAAAATATTTGAGATTTATAAATAATATAAAATAATAAAGAACATATTTTCTTTAATTTAAATCAGATTTTTAATCCTGGTCAATGGAAATTCCATATTACAAGTTGGTCAACTATATGTAGCAAAATGATTTTTAGCAAATGAGCTTTGCTAGGGTTTATCGCGGGCGAATAGAATGGGCGACAATGCTCTTCCCAATCGCTCCTTCAAGGAGCAGCGCTTCTGGGACGAATTCTTGGTGGCGCGCGACGGCCTCCCCTTCGAATGGTACGCACAATGGTCGGATTTGTTCCCGCTGCTGGAGCGCCATTGCGGCCTCAATCCGCAGCTCAGCCCTCTCCCGGCCGTCTTGATTCCCGGCTGTGGCAATTCGGAGCTCTCGTCGGCCATGTATGACCACGGCTTCACGAATATCACCAACATCGATTTCTCGCGGAGTGTGATCATGGAGATGATGCGCAGAAACATCAGGGACAGGCCGATGATGTTCTGGAAGGTCATGGACATGACGGAAATGCAGGTAAAGCTATTTTCTTGCATCTCTTTTCTCGATCGAGCTGAGAGCAATGCCTTTTACTCTCTTTTTTTTTTTCTTTTCCTAGTTCTCGAATGATTCGTTCGACTTCATTCTTGACAAAGGAGCACTGGATGCTGTGCTTGGACAGGCGGATGAAGATAGCGCGTCCGGGAAACGTTTTCTCTCAGAGGTGCGTTTTCTTTTCCTTTCCATTTCGTTCTTCTTTCTTTTCTCGAGAGTGACAGTACTTTTGGATAGGTCAAAAGAGTGTTAAGGCCTTTGGGAAAGTATGCTTGCATCACCTTAGCCGAAAGTCACGTAATCGGTATGTGGAAGAATTACCTGTGTGTTTCGTTTTTCAAAGATCACGTTGTGTTTGATAGGATTGCTATTATCAACGTTTCGACATGGTTGGCAAGTAGCTGTCTACCAAGTGCCGATTGCTCAGGCTTCGTCCAAGCTGAAGCCGCTGTTATTCGTTGCCACGAAAGAGACGACGAGCGATCTGTCCTTGATCTCTTATGATCTTTCGTCCGATCTCCATGTGAGTTTTTTTCTGAGTTTTTCTCTTATGAAAAGACCAACACCAATGTTTCCAGGCGCAAAATATCGCAGCGATAGAGAAGGAAAATGCGTTGAGAAGAAGAGGACCAGAGTTTCGTGACTTTGAAAAGCTCCAACCCTCTCGGAGATCTGTTCTAACTCTGGGAGGAACATTCAAAGCAATAGTTCTCGACGCCAAGATTGGACAGGCCGTCACGCCTGATGCGTGCGCTGTGTTTTTGGTGCCAAAGGTATGTTCGATTTCATTTCGAAAGCCTCCAAGATCTTTATACTTTTGCGACAGGCCAAGGCTCACGAGTGGCTCTATTCATCCGAGGAGGGACAATGGCAAGTGGTCGAAAGTGCCAAGGCCGCTCGGCTTATCATGGTAGCACTTGCTGGCTATAAAACTTGCATCGATTCATCTGTCGGAAATAACCTGTGTTTCTTCTTTTCGGACAGGTTTACCTCGAAACTGACTGTCAGACCGCTACTGAACTTCAGGTATCCGTTTCCACTCACCTTGTGCATATTCCCACTTTCCAAATGGTCAGAACCTCCTGTCCCCGCTAGTGAGAGAGCTTGTACCATTAGATTGTGACTCAGGAGTACCGTAAGTTCCTCACTTCTCTTTCCCGCTTTTCCTTGTCGAGGTTTCTAACTCTTGGTTGCGAACATCTGCAGTTTCCTGCTGCCACACGATGGAGTTTGTAAAGGGACTCTGCTGGAGGAGGTAACAATGCCGTGCATCGATTAACAAACAGAAACCATTGACTTTTCTCTTCTTTGTTCAGATCGATTCTCCATTAACGGGTACCATGCTTGTAGAGGATGTTGTATCATCCGACAAAAAAAAGGCTTTCTTTCGACGCCTGTTCTTTAAACGTAATCCCAACCTCATCCAGTCGGAGGCTTTACTAACGCCAACGAATGGATTTCGACGCGTGGGTAGTAAAAAGAAAAACAAACATGGCAAAGAAACTGCAGCGCAGAGAAGACAAAGTACGTGGTATAGAAACTTCTTGACTTTAATCAAAGTGTAACTTTATTTTTTCTTGTTCTTGTGTTTGTTCCAGACACCACGGATGAGATGAAGGTAGATCACAGTTACTTGGCCAGTCCGTATCACGAAGGGATGGTGGCAGGCCTATCTTTGATCGCTACTAAGATTGAGTCATGCGTATCTTCCAAAGAACAGGCATGGCATCAAAGTGTTAGCTATTTTCTGCTTGTGACAAAGAATTAATCCTCAACTACTAGTACAGATTCGTGTGATGATCGTTGGGCTTGGTGCTGGATTGCTCCCAATGTTTCTGTACAAGCATTTTCCCTTCAACAGCATTGAGGTAAAGTGTTCTCTTTGTTTTTCGTTACATGACAAAAGTTTTTTTCTTGTTTAAGGTAGTGGAGCTGGATCCGGTTGTTGCTGATTTGGCAAAGCGTCACTTTGGATTTGTGGAAGACGATCGCATGCAGGCATGAGAGTCCCCAATTTTTCTTTTTCTTCTTAACCAATAATATATTCTCTTACAGCTGAGACTTGGAGATGGATTAGCCGCTGTCGATGCTATAGCAAAACAAGAGGTATGAGTTGAAAGATCAAACTTGAAAGAAGAAACTCTCAAATATTTCTTATTTCAGATGGAAGAACAAGCTAACAGCGAGAACACTAGACATAAATTGCACATACTACTCATTGACGCTGATTCCTCCGATCCAAGGTTCGGTTCTCTCTTTTCTGTTGATCTTTGTTGAAGTGATCAGATAACTCCGTTGCAGTAATGGGCTAAGCTGCCCTCCCGAGGAATTCCTTCTCGAAACATTCCTCCGCAATGCGAAAGCTGCTCTGGAACCCGAAGGAATCCTTGTCATAAACGTTGTTTCGCGGGCTCGTGAGCCTCACATACAAGCAGACCAGAGAATGTGTAAAGTAAGCTCGCTAGACTCTCGTTTCTGGTAGCAGTAAGAGCTTAGAAGTTGTTCTTGCTTTGCAGATTTTTAGCGAAGTCTACAGCCTGCAAGTCGACGAAGACGTGAACCGGGTGGTGTTTGGATTGCCACAGCCGAGTAACCTGAGAGACTCCACCGCGATTTTTAACGCTGGAGTGCTGCTAAAGAAGGTCGCGGGCCAGTTTGCTTCGTGGGACAAAGGCCCCAACGTCAAGGACGTACTAAAGAAGATCAAGCGGATCAAGTGACAGTGAGAAGAAAAAGGTCTGGTTTTATTTTCTTTCCATCTTTTCTCATTCTCTCTGGGGGTTTTTGCACGAGTTTTCTCTAGAGAAACGCACTGTACAGATGTACCATCGCTATACTTTTTTTGCAAACAACGAGTCCTAAACGATGATCCTTGGTGTGTCATCGAAATCAAACAAAAGATGGTTTTTTGTTCTCCTGCCAACTGCATGAGAAGATTCATCGCGTGAATCTCTCACAAAGCCACAGGAGAGATCGACAAGATTTAATCTGTGCATTCGACACGCACTGGAAATTAAATCGCGTGTAGCCCCAGAAAAGATGTACGAAAAAGCGAGAAGAATGAAGAATCTCTCCTACATGATGAGATGAGATCTTTGTCCAGAGAAGAGATGAAAGAAATCCCAGGACATTGCGAAAGGAGATGAGCAATGTAGCATTAGCTGAACGGGCAAAGCACACGCGATAGAATCTTCGCAGTGCCCCAGTACTAAATGCGCGAGAAAAAAAAGAGAGAGAGAAGAAGGCGATGTGGCGTCCATCAGTCGAACAAGGCAGCGAACAACGAATCACTGACCCGTGCCATGGAAGCCGCGAGAAATCGTTGTGGCATCCGCGTATAAGCTAGCCGCGAAGAAAGAGCGGCGCCCTCAATGTTAAAGATGCAAGAACCCTAAAATTGTAAAGCCCTAAAATCGAGAGGGCACGCTCTAGGGCACTCACACAATGCGGCAAGGAGGAGCGATCGCCAGCGGCGAAGTCGTGGCAGAGCTGGAGCTCGTCTTCCTCAGGCTGTCCGCGATCGATCTGTGCCAGGCCAGGTGCGTGTGCCGCGAATGGCGACGAGCAATTGACGATCCCATCTTCCGCAAAGGCTACGCTCTCTCCCACCGCTGCATCCCTCACCTCTTCTTTCGTCTTTCTGGATCCCTCCTCGTCAAGCCGCTCGACAACTCCCCTCGCAGCGAGTGGCGCCACTTCCAGAAGCTCCCCAAGGGCATGACCATCGCCAGCAGCGACGCGGGCTTGCTGTGCCTTGTGAAATGGTGGGCGCCATCCTCCATCTTCGTGTGGCGCTACAGCGATCTCAACTCCTCCCCGGTGAGAGTTCCTTTGCCGCCAGAGACCGGCCCTGACATGCGCTTGACGGTGTACCGCCGCGAGAGGGATCGATCGACGCGAGAGTTTTGCGTCGCTAGCTTCGGGTCATCGCTTGGCTTCTACATCTACGACTCGGTCTCGGGCGAGTGGTCCTTGCGCGAGAACAAACACTACCCAGACACACGGGACATGGACAACGGGGATGGTTTCTATCCGATACTGGATCACGGGGAGGTGGTGATGCTTTGCACGGATGCCTTCGTGAGATACAACTTGTGGGATGATTCTTGGCGCATTCTCAAGCTTGATTCCGACGAGTTGCAGTTCGAATGGAGGTGGTTCTTTCTTCAGCTGGATCGGGATCGGCTGTTCGTGGTTAGTAATGAGTTGCAGGCGGAAGATCACGAGGGGCTGGTTGTCGTAGAGAGGCGGGGAGAGAAGTGTTTTGAGCCGTGATGAGGAGTTTGATGTGATGTGCAGTGTATGCACTGATGGGAGCAACAGTATATGGCTGCTTGACAGGGATAACTCACGGATTGTGCACTTTGGAGTCGATTCCAAGAGCTGGTCAGTGGAAGAGGCGCCCAAGGCTGTGCCAGGATTCGTGAACTTTGCTTGGTTCTCTTGTTAGTGCGTTCTTTCTCGAAGAAGATCCAAGGGCACTGCTGTGAGCTAATGCTCTGATGATCGGCATCGTTGATAGAATGGTGGTGAAGGAACAACAAGGTGGTAAATCGCTACTTTGCGAACAGCAAGATTGAGCATGTTTGTGACACGGAAGAAAAGTGTGCAAAAAGCTCTTGGAGGTATAACGATACTGGCTATTGCCATAGCACTGCGCATTGATGGAAGCAGCACTTGGAGCTGGAACCACGGGTTGATTACTACATTCTGGCACGAGGCACTAAAGTTGCTGCCACAGTTGAGGGTGCCTCCATTGTTGCTGAAGCAATCGTTAAGATTGATGCTGCTCCTTTGGAGCTGGCCATTGGGCTTGTAACAATTGGCAGTCAATGTTGTGCCGCTTATAACCTCCGAGTTCTTGTCACAGCTTCCTCAAAGTTGCATGCCTGCATCAAAACCAGATTGAGTCATAGTTCTAGTGTGGGCATTTGCAACAAACTAATAGCTTACAGCGTTGCTTGTCCCTGCAAGCGCTACAAGAGCAAAGACTAAGCAGATAATAAACTGCGAAGGCATGATAGAATGCGAGTTGTAGAGATTGTGGGTTGTGATCCCACTGTTGGAATTTTATACTGGCAAATGAGAAATTCGCTCAACCAAGCCCTTCAGATTTTCCTTAAGGAAAAGAGGGTGGATGGTTCACGTCTAATGAATAAATCTTGCTATTTAATAAACGAGATATGTTTATGAACTAGAGAAATAACTCGTCCTCATTACCTAGACAATTTGCTACAAACAACAGTCCATTATATGCTCCATCCCTGTGCTCTACATTTATGCACTAGGTTTATGGTCAAGAAAAATATTCAATAAGAAATTAGGCTCAAGGCTATATATGAGATTAGCATGTTAATTAGATCAAAGTTAAATAAAGCATTAAACTCACAGCTGGTGAATGGATTCCAAAATCAATTCCGGACTTTGATGGAGAGGTTGCTGTGGGGATAAAACTTCAAAGCTCATCCAGGTCCATAGATAATTAGAGTATGTTGTTTATGATAAAGGTTTGGACAGGTCAAAAGAGTGTTAAGGCCTTTGGGAAAGTATGCTTGCATCACCTTAGCCGAAAGTCATGTAATCGGCATGTGGAAGAATTAGCCGTGTGTTTCGTTTTTCAAAGATCACGTTGTGTTTTATAGGATTGCTATTATCAACGTTTCGACATGGTTGGCAAGTAGCTGTCTACCAAGTGCCGATTGCTCAGGCTTCGTCCAAGCTGAAGCCACTGTTATTCGCTGCCATGAAAGAGACGAAGAGCGATCTGTCCTTGATCTCTTATGATCTTTCTTCCAATCTCCATGTGAGTTTTTTTCTGAGTTTTTCTCTTATGAAAAGACCAACACCAATGTTTCCAGGCGCAAAATATCGCAGCGATATAGAAGGAAAATGCGTTGAGAAGAAGAGGACCAGAGTTTCGTGACCTTGAAAAGCTCCAACCCTCTCGGAGATCTGTTCTCACTCTGGGAGGAACATTCAAAGCAATAGTTCTCGACGCCAAGATTGGACAGGCAGTCATGCCTGATGCGTGCGCTGTGTTTTTGGTGCCAAAGGTATGTTCGATTTCATTTCGAAAGCCTCCAAGTTCTTGATACTTTTGCGACAGGCCAAGGATCACGAGTTGCTCAATTCATCCGAGGAAGGACAATGGCAAGTGGTCGAAAGTGCCAAGGCCGCTTGGCTTATCATGGTAGGGCTTGCTGACTATAAAACTTTCATCGATTCATTCGGAAATAACCTGTGTTTCTTCTTTCCGGACAGATTTACCTCGAAACTGACTGTCAGACCGCTACTGAACTTCAGGTATTCGTTTCCACTCACCTTATGCATATTCCCACTTTCCAAATGGTCAGAACCTCCTGTCCCCACTAGTGAGAGAGCTTGTACCATTAGATTGTGACTCAGGAGTACCGTAAGTTCCTCACTTCTCTTTCCTGCTTTTCCTTGTCAAGGTTTCTAACTCTTGGTTGCGAACATCTACAGTTTCCTGCTGCCACACGATGGAGTTTGTAAAGGGACTCTGCTGGAGGAGGTAACAATGCCGTGCATCGACTAACAGAAACCATTGACTTTTCTCTCCTTTGTTCAGATCAATTCTCCATTAACGGGTACCATGCTTGTAGAGGATGTTGTATCATCCGACAAAAAAAAGGCCTTCTTTTGACGCCTGTTCTTTAAACGTAATCCCAACCTCATCCAGTCGGAGGCTTTACTAACGCCAACGAATGGATTTCAAGGTGCGGTTCTGTCTTTTCTGTTTATCTTTGTCGAAGTGATCAGAAAACTCCGTTGCAGTAATGGGCTAAGCTGCCCTCCAGAGGAATTCCTTCTCGAAACATTCCTCCGCAGTGCGAAAGCTGCTCTGGAACCCGAAGGAATCCTCGTCATAAACGTTGTTTCGCGGGCTCGTGAGCCTCACATACAAGCAGACCAGAGATTGTGTGAAGTAAGCTCGCTAGACTCTCGTTTCTGGTAGCAGTAAGAGCTTACAAGTTGTTCTTGCTTTGCAGATTTTTAGCGAAGTCTACAGCCTGCAAGTCGACGAAGACGTGAACCGGGTGGTGTTTGGATTGCCACAGCCGAGTAATCTGAGAGACTCCACCGCGATTTTTAACGCTGGAGTGCTGATAAAGAAGGTCGCGGGCCAGTTTGCTTCGTGGGACAAAGGCCCCAACGTCAAGGACGTACTAAAGAAGCTCAAGCGGATCAAGTGACAGTGAGAAGAAAAAGGTCTCTTTTCTCATTCTCTCTGGGGGTTTTTGCGCGAGTTTTCTCTAGAGAAACGCACTGTACAGATGTACCATCGCTATACTTTTTTTGCAAACAAATAGTCCTAAACGATGATCCTTGGCATACTTGCATCCGAACATTCGAACGCAACCGGATTCGAACGGGTATCGAACGTTTAATACCCGTTTAGCTTTTTTTCGAACGGGTATAATGGTTTTCAGTTTTATTCGAACCCTGATTTTACGGTTTTTTTCGAACCCTGATTTTACATGAGCCCTAATCCTAAGTAAAAGAAAGCATATTCTTTAGGGTTTTTAAAAATATTCTTGGTGTTTAAACGCCGTATTATACACGCGTTTTAAACGGCGTTTTTTATTAATCATACCCGTTCGAATGCAAGTATGGTGCTTGGTGTGTCATCGAAATCGAAGGAAAGATGGTTTTTTGTTCTCCTGCCAACTGCATGAGAAGATTCATCGCGTGAATCTCTCAGAAAGCCACAGGAGAGATCGACAAGATTTAATCTGTGCATTGTGTGAATGAGCGACACGCACTGGAAATTAATCGCAGAAAAGATGCACGAAAAAGCGAGAAGAATGAAGAATCTCTCCTACATGATGAGATGAGATCTTTGTCCAGAGAAGAAGAGATGAAAGAAATCCCAGGACATTGCGAAAGAAGATTAGCAATGTAGCATTAGCTGAACGGGCAAAGCACACGCGATAGAATCTTCGCAGTGCCCCAGTGCTAAATGCGCGAGAGAAAAAAAAGAGAGAGAAGAAAGCGCTGTGGCGTCCATCAGTCGAACAAGGCAGCGAACAACGAATCGCTGACCCGTGCCATGGAAGCCGCGAGAAATCGTTGTGGCATCCGCGTATAAGCGAGCCGCGAAGAAAGAGCGGCGCCCTCAATGTTAAGATGCAAGAACCCTAAAATTGCAAAGCCGTAGAGACTGATGGGAGCAACAGTATATGGCTGCTTGACGGGGATAACTCACGGATTTTGCACTTTGGAGTCGATTCCAAGAGCTGGTCAGTGGAGGAGGAAGCTCGAAGATTCGTGAACTTTGCTTGGTTCTCTTGTTAGTGTGAAAATCGGGAATTCTTTCTCGAAGGATCCAGGGCACTGCTGTGAGCTAATGCTGTGATGATCGGCATCGTTGTTAGAATGGTGGTCCTTGAACAAGAAGGTGGTAAATCACTACTTTGCGAAAAACAAGACTGAGCATGTTTGTGACACGGAAGAAAAGTGTGCAAAAGCTCTTGGGGAATAACCCCGAGCCAAATCGTTGTGGCATCCGTGAAGAAAGAGCGGTGCCTCAATGTTAAGATGCAAGAGCCCTAAAATCAAAAAACAATATTAAGATAACATCGCTTTATCATGAGAAACTTCACTCACTTGCTGCTGGAGGAATCCACTGTTGTTCTGCACACACTTGTTAATCAGTACTGAGGTATAATACTGGCCATTGCCATAGCACTGGGGATTGATGGAAGCAGGACTTGGAGCTGGAGGATGGTACCACGGGTGATCACTACATTCTGGCACGAGGCACTAAAGTTTCTGCCACAGTTGAGGGTTCCTCCATTGTTGCTGAAGCAATCGTTAAGATTGATGCTGCTCCTTTGGAGCTGGCCATTGGGCTTGTAACAATTGGAAGTGCTTATAACCTCCGAGTTCTTGTCACAGCTATCCTCAAAGTTGCATGCCTGCATCAAAACCAGATTGAGTCTGATTAGCTATAGTTCTAGTGTGGGCATTTTAAAAAAAACTAATAGCTTACAGCGTTGCTTGTCCCTGCAAGCGCTACATGAGCAAAGACTAAGCAGATAATAAACTGCGAAGACATGATAGAATGCGAGTTGTAGAGATTGTGGGTTGTGATCCCTCTGTTGGACTTTTATACTGGCAAATGAGAAATTCCAACATGGAAGTGCAAGTAGCTCAACCAAGCTCTTTAGATTTTCCTTAAGGAAAAGAGGGTTGATGGTTCATGTTTATAATTTTTCAACAATCCTTCAAAATAATATCTAATTAATAAATCTTGCTACTCGTCCTCATTACCTAGACAATTTGCTACAAACCACAGTCCATTATATGCTCCGGGATGCATCCCGCCTCCTGTTAAACACCATCCTATTTCAGTCTCTCTCCACCTAGTTGGCAATGATGTGGCACTTCTCTCTTTCCACTCCCGTCCAACTCTCTCTCTCTCTCTCTCTCTCTCTCTCTCTCTCTCATGCTGCCACACAACATTACTTCCAATCACTTTAACTTGGACCAAAGTCTTTTTTCACAGGACAGAGAAGGGAGAGAAGAGGGTTTTTTTCCCTTGTGTCCAATGCTAACTTTCTCCTTTTGCTTTGCTCCTCTGGATTGGGGGACTTTGGGATACCCTCTTCTCTAGGGTTCTTCTTTGAAATGGAAATGCTGGTCGACCCAAGCAGCAGCAGCAACGTCAGCTAGATTGGAAGCGCTCTTGTTTTTTGCTCTCAAGGGGTAGCAACAACGATCATATGGAGGTTTCTATGAGTTTGTGGAGCTCAATGGTACTGTTAGCTCTGGCATCATGGAATATAGGCATGCTCTTCATCTTTGCACAGCCTGGAGCTAGTAAATGCTAC